CCGAGAAGACTAGAAAGTCTAACCATTTGCAGATGTCATTACAAAGGCAGCACTTTCTCCTCAATTATTTAAAGACCCTGAGTGTTTAAATAATTGCACATGCAACTGAGTTGCAAAGTTCAGTTGCAACATGCAGCTGAACTTTCCACCAGTAATCATCAGTAATCATCTTCTACATATTACCAATCAAGCAGAGGAGCCAAGGTCATATAAAAATGTTTTCGTCCTACAGGTTTATTTTCATGGAAATCAAACTCATTTTCATATGAAAGGTTTTTCACGAGGCCTCGTTTTGAAACAGAGGCACAAGGTAATTCGGAAACGGCCTATTATGAAAGAAAGAGCATAAATCACTTTAAACTGTAACTAAACCTATCTGTATTAAAGAAAAATTAGTCTTTCGATCTTGGAATGAAAAGGTTCATCTTTTTAATTCTCATCCTCTCGTTTTCCAAACACCAGTTTGGTCATAATTTCAATAGGCTCATTCGTGGCAGAATTTTTGACCTTGGCGGCAAGTGCACCAGCCATAAACTCGGCGTGTGTGTAACAGCGGAATTTGGTGTTTTGGCCAAGAATTATCTCTTGGATTATGGCTGCTATTTCATAGCAGTCCATCTTCTTACTGCACAAGGCCACGAAATTTCCATCCCATATCTTCTTTAACTCCTTCGTTTTCTCATCAGGCTCCTCTAGGGTTTTGGTCCAGTCTTGAGCATTTTGTGCGATCTGGGTGTCCACAGGACCTATTTCAATTATCGTACACCTGTAGAACGGAGACAAACAAAACATGTCAGTTATATTCATTATTAAGAAAAAAACTGTAAACTGTTCTCCTTCTACCAGTTTCCCTAATAACTTCAGCGAAAAAAATTATCTCCTTTGATAAAATTCTCACGTTCCTACGGCCCATTGACACCAGGAGATTTTTAGAAAAAAACGCATTTTTAGGCACTTTGGAAATTTTTAGCCTGGATATGAGCTAAATTATCTCTAACCTACTCACAAAGGCATTTGCAACATCACAGCATGCCTTTCTTTCCACTAGCATCGCGTTTTATGACATTTTTGCGCAGAAATCAAAATGACCTACGTCTTTAGGCTTTTCGTTTTTTTATTTTTTATTTTTTGCCTCTTTGTCCTTTTTCTCCTTTTGTTATCTTAGTACTGCAGTTGTTGACCTACTACTGGGCTTGCTTTCAGTTCAAGAATTTCCGCGAAAGTATCATCGAGACGGGAAATTCTTACCACGGAGTAGCCAGGTGTAGTAGAGGGAAATTTTGCTCTGAGTTTTTCCCTGAAATTTCTAAGCATTTTTGTTCATATTTCACGCTCAATTGACCCAGTCACTCTGATCTGGGTATCATTGGAAAGATCTTTTCCTCCTGCAGAACTTGAGTATAAGTGATGCCAATTTTAATAAAAGGTGATGACGTCAGAAAGGGAACTAAGGCGAGCGCTCGTCACGGGCGGTTACGGGCGGTACAGGCGCCAATGGGTTGGTAAATAAACTTGTAATTTCAGTGCTCAAGACCGCCAACATTGACGTCATCCCGGGAACTGGGCTGAACGTAATCAAGGGATTTTTGACTGGGCTTCCAGTGCATTTTGGATTATTTGTGGTTCAGGTTTTATCACAAATGGATGAGGCTTCTCAGTGAAAAAACCGTATCAGCCAGTAATACAATTCGGAGTCCAGCTTCGATATGACTTTTACGCTAAAATACTTATCCTTGCGGGCCAGTAGGATTCCACTGGATGTCCAGAAGGGCACAAAAAAGTCACCTACTCTGCGATTCTCTCATGTGAATCTCGCACTCTTATACTAAATTCACGAAAATCACAACGCACGTTTTTGGTAGGTTACAGAATCTACTTTGAAACAGTTACCACTCTCAATCTCGCTTTATCTCGTTACAATCAAACGTGGCTGCCTTTGCTTTGCTTTGAAATTTGACGTGAACGCCCTAACGATAGTGTCCCTTCATAGAAAATGTGTTAACTACTTGTCATGTCTCCTTTACCTGATGTTAAACTGTTGTAGACGCGGAGCCAATGATTCACTCAACCCTTCAACAGCAAACTTTGACGCTGAATAAATTTCCAGAAAAGGGATACCCATAATCCCCGACACAGAACTGTTGTTGATGATGTGCCCGCTTTGCCTCGCTTTCATGCTGGGTAACACTGCCTTGATTAAGCGGAGAGTGCCAAAGAAATTCACGTTGAACATGTCTTGAGCAACACTGATAGGGACAAATTCTGAAGCCGCGAAAAAGCCACTGCCGGCATTGTTGACTGAAAGATGAAAAGAGCAGTCCCTTAAAATATCTCCCTGTAGGAAAGTAAACGACCTTTGAGTTGTATCCCAGAGGCATTAAGCTTGCCGACGCGTGCTGAACAGAGTTTAATTATATAAACCTTACCCGTTAATATAGCTTTTCTTTTTTAGAGAGGTAAAAAGTCACCCAGCTATATATCTTCCAATGGTATCCCTTTCACGTACTCTTAGATTGAGTTACTCCTTACAAAAACTTGGATTAATTGTTCGTCACGCCGGTCGATCTGCTTCAGATATTTCAGTTGAAAGGCACTTTTCAACACCTACGTGACAAATTCTTATTCTTGTGGGCAAAATGCTCGAAATCTGCTTTTGCGTTCACTTTAAAGGACAGATAAGACGTAATTTTTAACTGTTATCCTGTCTGTCACCAAACAAAGAAAAAACAAGGTTTGTGAGAGTTTTGGGATTTAGTCCTAATTAATATGGCAAAAATAATTTACTCTAAATTGAAATCAAAATTTGCATTAGAGATTAATGGTTTTTACCTCAATGGCCCCCACTGATATACTGTTTTGACTTTTGATCTATTCTGTCCTATATAGATTACTAGAGTAAACTTCTCTAACCAAACGGTTCAAATAAACTCAACACGCCGCTCTGTATCACGTTTCGCTTGAAGAACTGCTTTGGTGTTTATGTAAATAGATTATTATACCTGTTACATAACGCCTGACCTCACCAACATTGTCCTTACTACACACGGTCACGGAATCGTAACATTGTAATTTCTCACCCACTGTTATAGGCTGATATATAGGTATCAAAAGGAGAGCAGATTTTAATGTCGTTTGCGACAATTTTGGATAATATCAAGATAACAAATTTGTCAATAGCGTCAGCAATAGAGGTCAAATAGTACATTGTAAACTACCTCTATTGATGACAAAGCTCGATGTGGGTTCTTTCAGGATAAATAGAGAAAACCATGATTTACACTACTTACACAACACATCAATCCTTCCCTCAGCGTCCAGCACTTCTTTTACAGCTTTTTCGACTGATTCATCGCTACACACGTCCATCTGTTTGATAATCAATGTGTCTCCAAGACAGTCCTTTCCTTCTTCCTCCAGTTGTCCTTTCTTCGCCAGATTTCTCATGGTGGCGTAAACCTTGAAGCGTTTGTCAGCATCTTTAGCGAGAAACACGGCTGTAGCGAGTCCTATGCCGCTAGAACAACCAGAGATCAGCACGATTTGAGAAGCCATGATATCCCTGATGAACGATTATTCCAGATTATGCAAGCTTACCGCTGACACCACGCTCAAACAAAGGTAATCATAATAGGTCATAATAACGTCACGCAACAATCATGACGCCACTTGATAGGACATAGAGACGAGTACAGCGGGCGTTCGTTCTTATTTCGGTTGCCTCCTTTAGCCTGGAGGCTACCTCACAGGTAGTCCAGACCGTCAAACTTCCTTTCTGCCGTATAGGGGTTGAACCCTCGCGGGAGACGAGAGAGGCCAGGGTAGCTGGATAAATATAAGTTGATTATCCAGAAACTAAGTGCACAAAAGACTGGTAACAACTCACCGTGTCACCATGAAATAATAATCATTATTCCCCGCGTGTGACTTAAATAATTTCTCCCTCAAAATTAACTCATGATTACAAATCTGTTATGCAGTCGGCTTTGGAGCTTCAATCATGAAATTAGGAATAATGCCTTTTTATACTAATAATTTCTTCGAACCATCATAACCGGAAATGTACAGCACTCAGTGATGAGAATAGACTACGAGTAGTCCCTCTTTCGCTTAGTCCGTCGTTGCGTGACGCGAAAGAAAACCGCG